TGATCATAGTGATGTATTGGCTTGGCAACATGCACCTCATGCAAAAACAGGCAAAACAGCAAAACTGAGCTTTTGCTGTAGTATTCCATTCCCTCCAGCCCTTGTGCTTTCCTTAAGCCAAATAAGTCATTTCAAAACCTTTAGGTTTGAATAATAAAAATATGCTGTTGATACAACTACTTTGTGGTCAAAAACAACTTGGCTGGTTCAGTTCATTTTGGCAAAAGAAAAGAGGATATATCAAACAATTCAGGTTAAAATATGCTAGTTACTGAATTGCTAGAACAGTGTTTGTATATGTTAGTACAGTGGTTCCGAAGTGTCTTATTCTGATAATAGTTTGTTAGGTAAGAGCACATCATTCAAAAGAGCTGTAATTTTGTTACTTTTCCATTATTTTCAAATCAGGATTATATACTTAAAGAAAAATAAATGCATGTCAAAGTATAGCAATAAAAGCTCACCAGGCGCACAGTCAGTATATGTAGAAGTAGGCCACTGTTACATAGGTGTGCAAATATGAATTCAGATGACTACACTGTGGCTGATAGTTTAAAAACATGCTTTTTGTATATAAAGATGTGTTCATTCAATTTATTTAATCTGGACTTGCCTAAGAATACCTATAATTCTGCAATATTTATAAAGTTCAGCACCCTTTAAAACTTGTTTTTCTTGAAAAACTTGAAATTTTCTGTTGCAGGGAGCAAATATTGATAGTGTCGACATAGAAGGTCGATCCCCCCTTCTGTTGGCTACTTCTTGTGCGTCATGGAAAATTGTGAATTTACTGCTCTCCAAAGGTACAAAAGAATATACACCAATGATGATACACTTCATTTGAGCAAAGTTCACACCTGTTAAAACCCTACATCTAATTTTTCTGTTAATTTCAATTCAACACCTCAGCATGTAGTCCAGGAACAACTCAAGTAAGCAGCTGTTATGTGCTGGTAGCCCTGAAGATAAAGGAAGAATTAGGATGGTGATTTCACCCCTTTTCATGTAGAGTGAACAGACTATGGAAAAGAGTATAGACTTTGTCAGCCCCTGCCTCCTGAAGGTGCAGGTGGCGCTTGCGCTCCATCCCTGTGTTCCTTAGGAGCTCTCCATGGTGGAATAAATACAGAGCCATGTTTGTCAGCAGTAATCAGTATTGGTTTTTATCATTAATACTATTATTACTATATTATGTCTTCACAAGGTTTGAGCTTTGTTTTTCAATTGCCATATGTATGGTGTAAGCTAAACTTGGTATATTTTCTTGTTATTAACATAATTTAATTTGTTAGTGTTTTTATCTTCTTAAAAAAGTTTTAACATAGTAACAATATGAAGGACTTTGTTAAGACTTTTTTTTCCAGCTGGCAAAAACTCACTCATTTCTGGTTGCTTTATATAAAATGTTTCTATGGATAATTAACTCAAATAACTGCCACATAAAATAACAGTGATTTTGAATGTAGTAAAACATCATTGAGACAGTGTGATTGGGAGTGAACAGTAAAAGTGGTGGTCATCTGCATCTTTAAATCATGTTGAGATTTGTGGGAGCTCAGTACCCTTAAGTACAAGGGCCATGGGTAAATCTTAGTGCTCTAGTGAGATGTGGTATCGTACATGTGTGAGATAATGATGAAATCACACCGAGAAGAGTAATCTTTTGTGATAAAGTGATGCATCATAGTATTGACTTGAAATATTTATTTCATAGATTTGTTCACTAATAATTGAATAATATCAATCAATGCCAGAGGCCAGCAGTTTTGAAACTCCTGTTATTTGTTTTCTTATTTATCTAGGAGCAAACGTATCATTAAAAGATCATTTGGGTCGGAATTTCCTGCATTTGACGGTATTGCAGCCTGGAGGATTGCAGCATCTCAATGAGAAATTTCTGCAGGTACAGTGAGCATCAGTTTGTATCCTTCAGTTACCATTATTAGAAAATAGAAGAGAAAGACAACTACTTTCCCTCTTTTTGGAATGGTTGTAAAAGATTCGTTTTGCTTACCCAGTGTCCCAGAAAATAGTTTGAACAGGTGCATATCTCTCATGAAAACATTTCAAAGCCAGTAATACAGTTTTCTTATTGCCAGGCAAAGGAATAACCCCATAAATTATTTTGCTGTTGGCAGATTGAATAGCTCAAGAGGTAGACAATATAATAGAGAATTTTTCACTTTTACTCTCCCAGTCTGCATGCAGTAAAGCTAGGGGAGGTGCCCGTTTGCACTCAAACTCCAGGGCTTGCACAGTTTACAGCCTATTCTGCTGCAATTATCCGTGGCTTAAACTGTAATGAAGTCTTTGATTTTGTTTGAAAATAGTTTTCAAACATTTGGCTGTGCTTAGGTAAAGTACTCATATTGCTAGAGCTCCAACTCACTTGAAGGATAGAAGTTTTCTATCATTCAGAGTACTGGGAATAGCATCTTTAATGGGAATCAAATAAAAATGATGTAATGGCATCCACTGTAATCTGGACAGGGTTAGTACTTCAGTTAGTAATTCAGAATGGATTTAACCTCCCTTTTTCAGTAGATTTTGTGAATCAAATTTTAAACGGAGATTTTTGATCTAGTGACTGCATTGACTTTGTAATCTTCTTCTAAAAATTCAGACAAAGGAGTGGAGCCGACTGGGATGGATCTCAGTTCTTTATAAGAAAGGTTATGCATAAGACAGTGAGTGACCAGAGGGGTAGAACGACAGGGAAATGAAGAAGAGGAAGAGAAATGCAGTTATAAAGCAGAACCCTGATAGTGCCTGACAGCTGTGTCACATACAGCTGACAGCAGTGCCTGTTATGGTTGTGAATGGCCAAGTGTGGTTAGGAGTCTCCTGTGTTTTACTCATTCTGTGGATGTATTGCAGTGAGGGCTCAGAATGGCAAGTTGCTCTGTTCTTTGACCAGGAAATCTTTTAGAAAATGGTGACTCACTAATCAGCAGACATGCCAAATCCTCACTCTTACTAAATTTACCTTACTTAAGGCTTCTTTCATATTTTTACGTACTATTTTAAAAATACTAAAGCTGATGTTAGGAACTGTTAGAAGCTGTGGAGCGTTAGCAATATGAATGCAATTTTGTGGTGGTTTTTTGTTTTTCTCTTGGTAACAGATGGAGCATATTAAGAACCTTGTAGTGGATGAAGATAATGAAGGATGCACTCCACTGCATTATGCCTGCAGGCAAGGGGTGGCCCTCTCTGTAAACAACTTACTCAGCCTGAACGTTTCCATATATTCTAAGAGTAGGGACAAGAAATCACCATTACACTTTGCTGCCAGGTGAGTAGTGTAGCTTAGGCAATGAATCAGTGTCATTTTTTTCCACTCAGATTTCATTGATATTAATTTCTATGTTAAAACTTTTAAAGCTATGGACGCATCAATACGTGCCAGCGACTTATAAGGGATATGAAAGACACAAGACTTTTGAATGAAGGTGATAAGAAGGGAATGACTCCCCTGCACTTGGCAGCGCAGAATGGCCATGAGAAGGTAGTTCAGTTTCTTCTGAAGAGAGGGGCCCTTTTCCTCTGGTAAGTATACAGATTTCCTTTTGTTAACGTAAAGAGGAGTTATCACTTTACATTTGATATCCATGCCTGGGAAATTATTAATCACCTGGGAAGTAATACAAATATCTGTCAAAAAATATTTATACATTATTAAATATGTAAGTTGGTGTCAGGCTTTGTGAAGTGTAAGACCATGTTTGTAAGATCTTTGTAAAACTAAGCTGGCCATGCCTTGCTTCTGTCTCTCACACAGAATTATGGCCAGCTGTAAAGCAAAGGTTGTAGGGCTTGCGAAAGTGAGGTCTCTCCGAATCGAATGGAGAGAACAACACTGACATTTTTGATGAATTGTAAACTCTGATGAAAAAAAATATTTTGGAAATATTATCATGTCAGGTTCACTAACAGGCTTGAGTAGGCAGAATGGGTGGCTCACATGCAGCTTGCACAGGCACTCTGAAGTCCTGATTTCAGGTCAGAGAGCCTCAGATCACTGGCAGGACCATGTCCTGTTAGGATTTTTAAAGCTTCCAGGGCCATAGCTGCAGATCCAGGAGCCAAAAATGCTAAGACTTTAGATTCTTTTTTTGCAAGATGTAGTGTAGAGCTCTCGCTTCTGGGCTCCCACATCCAGGACAGTCTACAGTGCAGCTGCATCTTGGAGCTAGGGCCTAAGTGTTCAGGGGAGATGCCTTAGCAGACAGTCACCTGTGTTCAGAGCTTATGCACCACAGAGAAGCCACTCCGTGGACTGCTGCCAAGCCCCTTTCTTCATGATTCTTAGACAGACTTATATTCTCAACAAGGATAGAGGTTAGTCAAGAATCCCAGTCCATCTCTTTCCGAAGCTGGCAAAATTAAGGTGTGTAATCGATCTCTCTCTCTGCCTCTCACACACACACACACACACACACATGTGTGCACACACCTGTATGTCTGTGTATATATTTAGTGCTAACTTAAGCTTAAAATTGGTATTTTCTAATAAAAGTTCCTGGTGAATTTTATGTGATGAAAAGCATATTGAGTTTCATTACACTAAGATGAAGTAATATGAATAGAAATAAAGTTGTGTGCTTGTACTGCTGTGTGTGTTCACTGTCTTCAAAAGCAAAATTCTGTAATATGGCCATGGATGTTACATCTATTGCCAGGTGTTCATAACAGAATATTCTAAGCTTTCCAGTCATTAGAAAGAGACATATAAGAAAACAGGTGCAAACAGACACAATCAGAGTGTGTAAATCATAGAGCAAATACAAAGAGAAGATACCGAAATATTTCAACCTTTTACTTCTGAGTGGTGCATTGATAATCACTTAATACTTAACAGAAGACATGGACATCTCTGCAGTGGCCATACCAAAGAAAGATATTGGAGAAAAAGAAGTTGCATTTATTTTCAAATTGTGAAAAGCTTTTCCATTTTTAATTACTATTTTTTATACCTGCTATGTCTAAGTGATTATAAAGGTTGGACTGCCCTGCACCATGCTGCCTTTGGAGGATACACTCGCACAATGCAGATAATTTTGGATACTAATGTGAAATGCACTGACAGAGTGGATGAAGAAGGGGTATGTATTCACCAAATATTATTTGTTTCTAGTCTATTATTACTTCTAGAGGAAATGTCTGTGATACCCTATTAGTAGATCAGTTTCACTATGAATTGCATTCATAATATTCTATTTTCTTTGTCAGTTTTAAAACCTCAGTACATCATCACTGTTAACATTTGTTGCTTAATTTTTCTCAGGAGAGCCTGAATGAGTTGGGAAGGCTTTCAGAAGTAACTTGCAATGTGACTTGATTCCTAAACCGCTTTAAATATTGTCTTACTGTTATGCACATACCAAGGAAAAAAATGCTCATATTAAAAAGCTGTGTCTGCAGAGTTGCTTGGATTTGTTTATACAAGTACATCTGGATGTAATTTGGACTGCCCCTCTTCCTGATTTATCCAATGCAGACTTTCTGTTTCTGGAGATACCGTCACTTTTACCTCTTTGTGACTCACAATTTGTTAGCTACAAAACTACTATTAATGAATTGCCCTTTCTTATTTGCAGCTGAGTTTCCTCTTCAGATTTTAACACTCTTGTTGCTGTAGACATGGAATAAGGAACTTTTCTGTAATTTCCATAAGAATCTCTAGGAAGAGATTCTGTGTTTTAATGTTGCTAGTAAAAGCATTGAGAACTTGCAGCTAAGAACAGACTGTGACTTTTTGATGATGGAAAATAAACTGAAATATGCATTGTTTTAAAATGATCCACATGTATGCTTTGTTCTACTCCTTTTCTGTACAGAACACAGCATTGCACCTAGCTGCAAGAGAGGGACATGCAAAAGCAGTAAGACTTCTTCTTGACTACGGTGCAAAAATTCTGTTGAACAAAGCAGTAGCTTCTTTTTTCCATGAAGCAATACACAATAGGAGGAAAGATGTAGTATCTGCTGTCATTCTGCACAAAAGGTAAGGTAAACAGAAAATGCTTTTCAAGGTAACTTCCTGCCATCCAACTTTTTTATTTGCAGTTAATTTAAGTTCTGGAAAGTTGTGGTTTAATGAAATGATTTAAGTGCCTATTTTAAAGTTCCAGCATTGTGGTCTAAAAACCCATTAAAATGGTTTAATTACAATGAGGATCAGTTATGTGGCAGTTCCTTTCCATGTTAAGTTGAATGTTTCCATAAGAAAAACACCTAGGGGCCATAAGAAATACATAATCTTCTCCCATGTTTTTCCTCTTCATACATAGAGAATATTGACCTTCCATGGAATAAATCTATACATACAGAATTTTAAACACAATTGATATAATTCAAGTGACTTGATTTAAAGTTGTTGTTTTAAACATGTTGCAAATATTTAAAATGTGGTAAGTTCTTTGTAGTTTAGAATGTTTTCGTATAAAAATGTTGCCAAGCCTACTAAGTCCCATTTCTGGAGTAAAAATGTCACCCTATTGCCTAAAGATTGCATCTTTTGCTAAAAGTTGCAGGAAGACAGCAAGTATTTTACCAAATTCACTATTACCCACCTAATATTGTATCCCACGTTGCCAGCTTTAGTTCAGGGTTCATATGGAGTACAGAGAAAGACATCAGCTCTTGAGAAGGACTTAGTGTTATTGAAACAATTCTCTTTATTTGAGAACAGAATTAAATATGAATCGTTCTTAGGGAGGAATCCAGAGCATTACTCAATTACTTCCCTAGCATATGATTTTTGGTTTTCTGGCGTATAAATGTATTATTGACTGTGATTTGCGAGATAATGCCTTAAATAAAACTCAAATTATCTAAAATCAATTTCATGTTAAAAAGAAGCAATCAATTCATTTTCTGTTACTTCAATGCATTTTTGCAGATGGGAAGAAGCTGTTTTGACCTTCTCTCACTATTCTAGTGCCAATAAGTGTCCTTTGTTGGAAATGGTTGAGTATCTTCCTGAATCACTTAAAGTAAGTTTAGTCATTAAGAAATGACTATAGAAAAGCTCTAGTTTTGTTTCACCTTGTGTTGTTTTTTTTCCAAATGCAGTACTCACTAACCCTAAACACTCACAAACACTAAAATAATAATATCAATTCATAGATGAATAAATTCAGTTATTCTACTAACGCTTGCAGGTAGCTCACTTTAATTTCTTATTTCTGGAAGTCTTAAGTTTCTGACGTTAATGGAGTTGAGTATAAAAGTGAGCTGAGTATAAAAAGATAAGAGAATTGAAATCCAAACCAGTAGCAGTGTTTCTCCACCTTCTCATTAAATACTAAACCAGTGTCAAAAAACTTTTTGGCTAAAATATCAAATAACTTGATATTTTGTGTAAATAAATACTTCACATTTTACACTTGTAAAGTTTCTTGCATTCAATGCCATAAAACCTGATTCCGTACTTTTGAAGATCATTTTCTTCAGATGCATGCATTTTGTATTCTTTCCTAATGACTGTCATCAGTAATCACCTTAATTTACTTTCTCGTTCATCTTCAAAGCTCGTTTTGGATAACTGCATAATTGAGTCTTCAGAAGAAAAGACGAGTCGAGACTTCTATGTAAGTGGGGGAAAAATTGTGAAGACAGTATGTATTAAAGTTAATTATCATTTTAGGCTGCAACATGTCACAATGTCTGTAGCAATATGTTAGTAGCAATGAATCTTTAAGTTAGAAAGTTGTCAAACATTTGGCTACTGATACCATACTAGGTTTTACTATCTCTTAAGTATTTTCTGCAGTTTTACAAGAATCATGATGTAAGTTGGAATCAGCTAGTACATTTGATGCATCATGGATAGTTCAGGAGTTATTCACTAATACCTGATTTTTAATCTGTGCTTTTAATATGCATTTGTCACAAAAACCTCAGTATTGGTATGAATTTTAAAATATACTTCATTGAATACTGACACTTTTCAGTGGCATTTTGTCTTAATGTAATGCTGGTATCTTTATTATTCAGATTGAATATAACTTCAGGTATCTCCAGTGTCCTCTGACGCTTAACAAGAAATTTAAGGATGATGAAGAGATTTTTTATGAGCCACTTACCACTTTAAATGTAAGTCATTTTACTCTTACATCAATCCATGCTATCTTGGACTTAACATCAAGGGTTTGGAATTTTTTCATCATGATAATTCTCGAAATATGTAGAGCTGTGGGATATTGGAATGGCATACAGGACAAAGTATTTATAATCTAAGTAACAAATAACATTTATTTTAGGTTTAGATAGAAATTGTTAGTTATTTGAGCGGCTAATAATGTTTCAAGAGAACATACTTTATACACAGATACAGTACACTATACCTTGTCATTATAGTGACCATTCATGGGAATATAAGACAATGAAAAATGACAAAACTGATGTGCTCTCACTTTCTTTTCTTCATATGCTAATTGAAAAATATTTTCTGTATCTTAAAAAATCGGTAGTTCTTAAACATGGTCAGTCTGTTCCCGTAAGTTTTGTCAGAATTCATTTAAAGAATGACTTCAGTGGCTTGATTTGATCACCTCTTTTGAGCTTATTATTGGTAATTAGACTGGGTGTGCTGTTTAATAATGAATAAATATATTATAGTTAAATATAACTAGAAAAGCAAGATTATCTCTCATCTATAGCTCCCAACCTGAAAAATGTCACACTTATGAGTCTCATTTTTATTTTGCAAAATATACTATCTTTGTATGGTTATGATTTTTCTTTTTTAGTTTTAAAGACAGAACCTCAGGAGAAAAGGTGGATGGCGTGGTAGTCAAATAACAATCTAGTAGTAGATTTGGGCCATAGTACATAAACACGCTGTGCTTTTGATTGGGCTAGTCTTCAAATGACAAAGGTGGTTTAGCCAGTTTTGGGATAATTTTGCTCCACTACACAAGTTAAGTTTGATCCTTTTACTCTTGTTTTGTAGGCCATGGTACGCCACAATCGCATGGAGCTACTGAGTCATCCCGTATGTAAAGAATATTTGCTTATGAAATGGTAGGTGTGTTTTAATGTATACAAAATACACTACTGCAGGTCACACTGGCAGCTGTGATACCTGAAAGCTATGCACTGAATGCGTGTATTTTTAGTGTCATATTAAGCAAATGTATTTTCCATGTGACCATTCATAAAGATATTTAAAACATGCTGTTGACTATCATACGAAATACTGCATAGAACTTCATAAATGACTCTCAGAGATTTACGGAGGTGACCACCATCATTTTTGCTTTCACTTTTTTTGCAAGAATATGTAATATTATCACTGAATTAGACAGAAAATGAGCAAATCATCAGAATGACTAATGCCTTATGTCCATGCACAACTTGAAGAAATGTTTATTTCCTCAGAGTAGAAGCATTGTTTGCCATGAAATTTAAATCCTTGATTTTCTCAATTTGTAAATTGTTCAAATGTTAACATTTTTGCTTTCAAGGATGGCCTACGGGTTTCGAGCACATCTAATGAATTTAGGAATATATTCTCTTGGTCTCATCCCACTGACTCTTCTCGTCACCCACATACAGCCAGGAAGACCCTTGAATGGAACAGAAACTTATGAAACAAGACCATTAGAATATGAGGTACTGGGGTTTTTCTATTAGTGACAATATGCTTATGATTCTTATTGGAAGAGACCAGTTATTTAAATCATTTGAAAATATTTCTCAATCATTTTCTACATTTATTATCTATCAACTGTAGGAATAAAATCAAAGTGCTTGTTTTTATGCATTCAGCAACAGTTTATGTAGCTAAAATTTCTTATTTTTAATCTCTTTTCTGTAAAGTTAATTTTTGTGAATGGTTATTTCAGTCTTTTCCTTAAAGTGAACATTTCCTTAAAGTTGAGAAGAAGAAAGCATATTTAAGTATGAAAGGATAGAAGATTATTTTTTTAGCTTTTTATGTCTTTTTTAATGATTAGCCAAAATAACTGGACATTACATATTATAAATTGGACATAGAAACAATCATCATTAAATAAAGTGCCTCTGAGCATTCAGATACAGTTTTATTTGCCTGTCTGTATATTACTTTCCTTACATGCGCAATATTTCTCTGTTAGACTTGTAAAATATGAAGCTAAGGTAGAATAAATTTTGCCAGCCTGTATATAGGCAGCCCTCATGGTAGCGAGGAGTGTAACTGCAGAATGTAACAAGGTATTTGTGGAGCGCTCCAAGAAAGTTCTTTAAGGGGGTAGGATGTTTCCTGGAATCGTTATGCATAAACTTCAAAAGAATTAGGAAAAATTGTGTTCCAAAATGTGAATGAGGGACTACCATTGTGGAGTCGCGATGACATCTCAAAACGAAGAGCTTGATTAGGTAACAGAGTACCTGTGCATCATTTTGAGTTTTGAATGGTTAATTCTCAGTCAAAGTTACTGTAGATGTGGGGGTACTCTGTAAGGATATATGAACTTTGTATATGAGGTGTTTGGTGATACAGATTCAGTGGAAGTTATTCTTTAGCTGATCCATAAGGAAAGCAAGCAAGGGTGAACCCTGTCTCAGGAGAAACCTGTCCTCTGTAGCTGTACCAGCGTTGTTAAGAGAAAAGCTCAAACTTTTTTTCAGAAGCCGAAACTGGGGTAATTAGGGCACTATATTGAACTGAACAAGTTAGACTTGCCAGGCCCTCAGCTATAGGGGAATGGGACTTTAGAAAAGAGACATTGGTGCAACTGACCAGTGTCCTTTTGTAAGTGTCTCCTTCCTTAAAATTAAGCTGTATTCTGGCTTTCAAGAAGGCCGAGTTGTCACCGAGCCGCATACTGTAAGACACCGAGAGGGTAAAACCGCAAGTACTGCTGTTTTTTGAACCTGTGATTCCATGGTTCCTATGAACAACTCAAACTCAGTGTTATATTCCTGTGTCCAGTTGAAGAACGGGAGAGTGACAGAGCTCTGCCTCCAAGAGGCACGAAGTAGTGTATTCTGAGAAGAAAACCTGTGTCGTTAGCCCTGAAACTATGATGTGCTGGTGTTAGTGGTGAGAAGTCAGTTGTGAGATGATTTTTTTCAAATTCTTCATTTCAAATAGGTGAATATATCACTAAAGCCAAGGTTATTGGGAAAAAAAAAATCAAGACAGATATTTTGTAGTTCTTCTTTTGGGGAAAAGAACATACAACTGCAATAGGAGCTCAAAGGGATTTGCTGCAAGTTTCATAGTAATATGAAATAAGATAAACTCAAAGAATATAAAAAGTTCACCTGGGTATCCTGATACATGAAAATATCAAGCCCAGAGCAGTAGCTAGAGCATTCTGAAAGCTTCAGAAGGCAGGACTGGAAGAATTGATGCTGCACCAGCTCCCCATGAGAAGAGCTGCACAAACCAGAGCTGTGACTTGAGGCTGATGCAGCCTGGTGGGACATCAGAGACTAGGTGGAAGGAGCACAGACAGAGCCCAGTGCTTGGCTGAGCAGTGATGATGCCAGCTAGTGCAGAGCCAATGAACAGGACAGCAGCATGAAGGGGCTGCCTGAGAGATTAAAGCAAGAAAAATCACTTGTGTGCAGTGTCATGCAGTGAAGGAAGCAACGTCGTAATGACCCAGTAATGGGAATAGAATGGGCAATTGCATCTCTGTAGGAGCACAGCATTACACAATGTTGGTAAAGTCCTCTTACCCAGTTTAGAGAGGGTTAGCGCAGTGTGTATGCAGATGTGTATTGCAGCATCACTGAAAAGTAAATTCAGGAATTTATGGTCTAGCTATGAATCAGTCAACCCTTCAGATGGGAAATCAGCTTTACAGTTTGTTTAGTAAGGATGAAATTCACCATCATTGTATGCGCCTCTCTCAGGAACTTCTTGACTTACAAGAATTTGTAAAGACTTTACATCACTGAAAAAGTGGCCTAATTACTGCAATTTCATTTCCCCAACTGAAATAGTCGAAAGGAATTGGTACACCAGCTGTTTATCATGGGAATGCCAAACATTTTGTTCTTGGTTTGAATTACTTAACAACAATACACATGGCATGGATTTGACTATAAACATTAGTAGAACAGAATTCAGATGGCAATGAGAAGTTAATCAGAAGCAAGTTAACAGATAAAATAATGGGTGGTAGTATAATGTGTATGAAGTAGGTAGAGTTTAACTAAAGATTGTTCATTTACAGATTTCTAAATTTTTCTGTGGTCTGTGATTTGTGTTTCAGGATTCATATTTCACAAGGGTGTGTATGTGTTTAGTTTTAATTATGAGTTTACTGGGAATCTGCAAAGAAATATTTCAGCTCATTCAGCAGGTAAATATATACAGAAATAGTCTATACACATTAATGAAAGTATGCTTGCATAGTTTTAATGATATTGAATGGCATCTGATTTTTCTTTAATTGTTACAAATAAGATTAAAAGAGAGAAGAGGATTTAAATAATATTATTAAATTCAGTCCATTAGTGATGAATGACTTGTAAATATGCATCTGTTTCTCTTAAATCCTAGAAATTGAAATATTTGTTGGATTACTCCAATCTACTGGACTGGACAATTTATACTACAAGCATAATTTTTGTGTCTTCTTTATTTATTAATACACCAGCTCATTTGCAGTGGGAATGTGGAGCAATTGCTGTATACTTGTCTTGGATGAACTTCTTGCTTTACCTTCAACGGTAATAAATATTTACATACTTTACAATAGCATCCTGTATAATTTTCAGATGTTTTACACGTACTAGAAGTCAACTGATCACATTTGGTAGCCCTATTTCTGCTTCTAACTATATAGGTTTGCAGATTAGGACCTTAAGTTGTTTTTATTTTTCTTCTGATGAACTATAATTTAGGTTTTGGTGTTTTTCTTGTTGAGTTTCACAAAGCTTACTATGGCAAGTAAAATAATACTGTGTGTATTTTTGTGTTATGTAAGCAACGCCAATGTTATATACTTTTAGAAATTATTTCATTATCTCTAAAAAAAAAAAGGCCAATCAACCCAAAATACATTAAATACTACAGGGAAAAGGAAATAAAAGGAAGATTTTGTTGTTATTGATGATGCCTTGAACAAGGTAATGTCTCTTATCATTTGTAGATTAAGTGGTAAACCTCAGTTTTCTACACCCTCACTGTCCTAAGGAAATAAAATGGGTGAGATTATCAACTTGGTTTATATAAGGGCTCATAATTGTCTTGAATGGTCTTGATGCAATCACTGGTAGATTAGGACTTGAGGAGATTTGGGAGGTGGGGAAAAACAGGGTGGCTGTAGTGCTTAAATCTAATAAAACATGTTTGTGCCTTGGTGGGAGTGCCTTACACAGAGATGAAATGAAAAAAAAAAAAAAGGTTTGAAGCTGTCACACTTTAAGGAGGACTGTGTGCAGTAACACTGCCCTTCTCGTTCTTAGTGTATATATGCACTTGTCCATATATATTGCCCATGTGAGATGAGAAGACAAGCACAGCATTTGCTGGGTAATTTCAGGAGTGTTTTACTGTAGTTGCAATGTTTAAGGTCACAGTCAGGGCAAGCTCTGTAAGCAGCAGTAGTGCCATAAAGAGCTGGTAGGTTTATGACAAACTTTGTCCTGCCTGTGTCAGACTTTGGATGACTAATGAATGGACTTGATACCTCTCTCCTTTGAGGTGTTCTGTGGGCAAAAGGGGGTTGAACCTAAACCATAAAACAAAACAAAACAGCAAAAAAGAGATTGTCCATCCTTTCTTCTCTACTAGCTAAAATGATTTCCTTCCCTGAGCATTGGTTATTCAACTTCACAGGTTCTCTACACATAATTCTTCTAACTCAATGAGGCTTTTCTGGAAGCCACCTATAGCTCCACTGACCTCAGTGGAATTTTGCCTAATAGAAACCAGGGTAGGAGATTAGGTCTGTTTTACCTGCAGCCTGATCTTTTCAACCTCACACATAATATTTCAGGGAGAAAACTCTATGGAAGGATTTTCTCATTTGCTACTGTTATGGCATAAAACAGTCATCTGGTCCCTGAATTTGGCAGAGTACATAAATTCCTAATTTCTTATTTGGGAAGAAGGAACATAATCTGCTTTATGACAACTCATGTTCCAATATCTGGTTTATGTTTAAACCAAGACTAGGAGAGGCTTACCAGAGGGCAGACTTGTTGGAAATACAGGCAACTTAAAACTATCCTCTGCTCCTCTTCCTGCGTGGGGATTTTTGGTTTGTTTGTTTCTTTTCTGTAATTCGTAGTGACATATTATCAAGTGTAAGCCAGAGTTCTTAAAAAGAAAAATCTTATAAAGCAATCTGGTTTGTGCATCCTGTTTTGGTTACTAACTGACATTTAAAAACATCAAAACTTGAAAATTTTCTTTGTATTATTGTGCTGCATACAGCAGTTGTCCTACTGTATTGTACTGTCTGTGACTATGGACAAAAAAAAATATTATCCGTGAAAAACAATATCTCTGACAAGTACTGCTTTATTGTATTAAAATATGAAATCCCTCAGTTGAAGTTACCGAGTAAATAAGTAAGATTATTTGCATTCTTTTGGGCATGAAATTACAGACTGTTAGACCATCTCAGAATGCCTCAGAGAGACTAAATGTCTGTTATCACACATGAAAACTGGGATCACTTACTATCTTATGTATGTAACTGTAAAAGAATCTTGGTTTGATACTTAATTTTGGTTATCTTTCACACTGAATTATTTCCTAGATTTGAAAATTACGGCATCTATGTTGTCATGTTCTGGGAAATTTTGAGGACTTTGATTCGAATTGCTGTTGTTTTCTTTTTCCTGATATTGGCCTTTGGACTCAGCTTCTTTGTCCTTTTGGGTTCACAGGTTAGTTGCATGATATAGTTTTTCTTTTTTTTTTTTTTTTTTTTTTTTTATATAATTACAGATATCACGCTTTGATTGAGAATTTCAAAGGGGAGCTTATTTATAAATCTTGTAGTTTTGCTTTTTACTGATTTTTTAAATTTCTTCTTTTGCAGCAAACCTATAGCACACCTTTGCTTTCTGTCATGAAGACATTTGCAATGATGCTGGGAGACATTAATTATCATGATGCTTTCCTTGATCCATTACTAAGCAATGAATTGCCATATCCATTTCTGAGTTACACAGTTCTCATTATCTTTACCTTACTTATTCCAATCCTTCTGATGAACTTGCTAGTAAGTATTCATTAATACACAAAAGTGATTATACCCAGGTTCATGTACAGTATTAGTATGTAGAATAGCTTTCTTTTGGCTCGTTTTTCTTCCTATTTACTATTTTAAGTATTTTTCCATAGTTGTTCCAACTGTTGCAAAGTTAATCTTATACATTTTTAGGGAATATCTGTGATTGATTGATAGAATTTGTTCAGCTGCCAGGGAAGGTATGCAGGAAAGTCTTTCCTGCCTTTTGTACGCATCTCTAGAGCAGACAGAAATATGACCCTCTTCTATCAGAGAGTAGAAAAATATTCTTTTAGGTTAATGAAAAGGTGCACAAAAAGCAGAAGAAAATATTTTTATTCTTTCCTGAGGCATAGTCCTCTGGTGTCTCCTGCATCACTCTGGCTTTACCCTGTCCCTAGAAGAAATATGAGACCTGAGAGTTTGCAGGACTCTGGAGTGATTTAGAACCAACATTTTCTAATTTTAATCTAACTTTGTGTCAAAGAATGACCCTGGTTTCCACAGGAAAAGAAAGCCATGCTTGATTTAGAGCTGCCATATTTTGATATGAGATCCTGATGGAAACAACTGGAGAACCATGACTTGGAGAGATCTTAGTTACACTCCTGCTCCAAAGCCCAGACATAGCCTCAGTTCTTTAACCATTCACTGTATTTTGTCACTGGACCCTAGCATTGACAATGACAAAAAAAGCAAAGACCCAGATCCTTGTTGGGCAGAATATATCTGTCAGCAGTTTTGTTTTGTTAAAAACAAAGAAATGAGGCTGAAGCAAAACAAAACAATCAGAAAACTGTCGTAGGGAAAACAGGATAGATGTGTAATTCATCTTCAGTCACATTCCATTGAGCAAAAGCTTTGGTAGGAGAATAGGCTTTTACATGAGCTGGACTATGAAAACCAAACAGTTCAGGGTTTTGTTGGGATTTGTGGTGTTGCCCTGATCCTATTTCATCTGAGATTCAGCTTGTATTTAGCACAACAGTAGTCACGAAGAACCACAAAGAATTAATGTTATTTTTAGCATTTAAAGTAGCTCTTTATTGTGTTAGCGATAGCTAGATAGTTGATCTTAAAAAAAAATACTGTGTTTCTTGATATGGATTTTTCAAATATGCAAAGAAGAAAGGTGTTTCCAGATTTGAGTGAAACAAAGCAAATTTAACTTGAGTCATTTTGGATTCAATTGTGAAAGAGAAATACAAGTAAAGTCACAGACTTTGAAAAAGTAGTGAGTATAATAGTCCTTTGATCCTCTTCTGTATTTTTAGATTGGTTTGGCTGTTGGGGATATAGCTGAAGTGCAAAAATATGCGGCTCTGAAAAGGATTGCAATGCAGGTAAGTAACATGTCATAGGAGCAACAGCTATAGAAAGTAAATATTATTTCGGCACTGTCCAGATAATTAGCTAATTTAGCATTAACCTACTTCACATCTCTGTAAAACAGATTAATGAACATGGTCTTCCTATTCTGATTCTCATTTTCAGTCAGTGAGTCATTTAAAGGAATTATTTTTAATAGGCAAATGCACTTTTGAGAACTTTGAAGAGTCAGTTTAATGAGTTTAAGAATCTCAAAAGAAGTTAATATAATGTTTGAAATCAGAAGGTTGTCTTTTAAAGATGAGTTGATGGAGTGGGAAGAATGTTGAAGTTCACAGAAATCAGAGGGACTCCGAATTCTTTGCAATATACAGGGGCGCTCAATTTGTGTTCTGAGGAGACAACTCTGCAATGCCAAACATAACGAAGGATCTTAGGGTCATATTTCTAAATGTATATAGATACCTAAAGTTGCAAATAGAGCCTAACATTATTTCTGTTGAAAACAGAAGAATTTAGCAGTGTGTATACTTTTTAAAGCTATGTGTATCTTAAATATTGTAGAGTTAGCTTTTGCAAATGGAGTCCTTTTTGCTTATATGTTAGGTCTAGGTCCAGCAACATGACTTTGTAGAGTTTTCCTTTTAACAAACTCTAACTTTGCAGTATAGTTTTGAGATTTTTTCCATGTGGATTTGTATGTCAAGTTTGACTTTCACAGCTGGAAGTGCACAAAATATACAGCTGTTAAATAAAAAGTAAAGATTCCTTTTTATTGCCATAGTCAGAGAAAGTATCTGTCCCTATAATACCTTGAAGTTTTCCACTTGAAGTCTGTATTGGGGGAAGACCCGAGCATTTGTAAAATTGATGTAGGGAGCGTTTTGCATGTGCTCCCTGGTGGCTCTGCTTACTCCAGAGCAGAAAGGAGAGATGTATGCAGACACAGAATGCCCAAGGACATGATTAGAGGATCGATTCCCTTTTAGCATAAAGCTGCCTCCCAAGAGCTATTTCTTGGCAGAGGTATTTTTTGCTAGAAATACAAGTGACTAAATCAGGGGTTTAAGGGCAATTCTTGAAGCAGGTCATGTTTTTCGCCTGTTGAGGTATTTCTTGGCAAACAGAATCTTCAGGAAAGACTGTGTCTTGCAACATCACAGCGTGCCATGAAATCTTTACGAAGCCTGAGACCTTCCATAGGTTTGACAGGATTATGGTTGTCTGAAATAGGCTTGTATTTTGTATCTTTTTCTTTTAAGGTAATAAATATACGTTAGTATTTCTGTAGGAATTTTAGAATGAATGAAGAGGTAGCATCACCTGAAAAGGCAGTCATATATATAACACCTTTGTTCTATCCCTGGGAAAACCGTTCCCATGGGCTTTTCATAGGCATCTTAATCTCTACAGGCTCTCTCATAACCTAGTAAAAGCAGAATTAAAGATAGAATGATCACTCTCCTTTTCGTTATAAATTGATTTCCAATTCTGTGGGTATGATATTATGGACTTGATCATTTCTGCCCTATAATTCTATGCTGTAACCTTCAATATAGTAAACAGAGACTCAAGCCATTATAGAAGAGCTATCTCACTTTTGGAATCAGTTTAGTTATAAGAGTACATACCTATGTGGAATAATTATCCCTGCTAAGAAACTCCCTACTGCTCCGATGAGGGAATGTCTCATGTCTGAGCTCGATTGTTTAAACATTACACCACCGTTTGCGGTGTAGGTATCCTCTGGGACTTGAAATCTAGTAATAGAAGATAGTGACTTAATGGCTCTTTTCTCATGATCATGTGTTTTTAATCCGAAGAGAATAATTACATTCTGAATGAAAAATATGTTTAGGTCAATCTTCACACAAACTTGGAGAAGAAGCTGCCATTTTGGTTCTTAAGTCGAGTGGACCAGGAATCAATCACTGTGTATCCCAACAGACCAAGATACTGTGGATTTATGGTAAGATGGAAAATCTTAGAGCAAGGTATTCTTCCTATATGCAATATGGTAGACGTATGATTTGTATGTACTTGGAGTGCTAGGAGCGATGTGTTAATCAAGATCAGTCATAAGCTAATATCAGTGGAAGTGTGATTAGATATGCAGCATCCTCTGTGAAAATGCTAAATTGGCTTCAGTGCAGCGTGATATGTTCAGATATTTGATGTGTGAGTTGTCAGTGATCTGTGATTTTTATTAGGAGGCATAAGCTAAAAGAAGTTATTTAGATTGAACTTGTAACCATTACTTTTTGACATTTGTTCCATTATTTGTTTACTTTTCATTTTAACTCCTGTTAATAGCCTGAATTTGCTGATTAAACACCATTTTGCAAAGTCTTTTTGCATAGTTTTATTACAATTAAAATAACTTCATAACAGAAACTGCTTTCAACTTTAACACCAAGGCAGAGACTTTTATGGTTCACCCATTTGGGGTTTCTAATGTGTTGTCAAATGGTAGCAGCTGATTTCAGCTTGGTTCATGTGTTGCCTTTAGAGCGTGTTCCAGTACTGCTTTGGCTGTGAGGACTCTACCACATATGCACAGAGCACTGATACAAGTCTAGAACTGGAAGTTCTGAAGCAGAAATACAGGTATTTGTTGTGTTATTTTATTACTGTACTAGTAAGTGGAGCAAATACTGCATAGATAGTCCTATTTAACAACAGGGTTGTAAGATTCCTTGTTGTACACAAAAATAAAATTAAATGTATCTATAAGTTAATTAAGTTCCATCACCACAGTGTCTTAGTACTTGGTATTCTGTAATGTATTTCAAAATGTGAGGTTTTATTCCCAAGGCAGAAAAAGAGCATGGGTTTCTTAGCTCATTAAAGTGAACCTATATGAGAAAAGACCCTTTGATTTCGCGATTAGAGGTTTGTGTATGGAGCTGTACAAGACATTTTAAACTTACAGTAAATGTAATTCTGACTGTTTTATAAATATGCACAATCTATAGTTGATCTCCCAATGGTTAGACAGGGAAATCTACTTCAAAGTGATTTCCCAAAAATGGACTGCTGGCCTGACAAACAAATCGCCTGTTTCCCAAAGCCTTAGAAGCCTTTTCCTTATTCATCAATATATCCATAAGGATGGTTGCAGAAAAGCTTTCAGTCAATGTACAGCTAGGAAATCTCTCTCTTTCTGCCCGCTCTCTCTTTCTCTCTTTTCTTTGTCTACTAAAATCTTCTCCCAGCACATACTCAGTTTAAACATTTTTTGCAGGACTAACTGCAATAGTAGAGAGTGTGTGAGAATATTTCCTTAAGAGCTGTAGTCAAACCATAGAATTTAACAAGTTTTTTTTTTCTTTTTTTTTTTTTGAAATCCATGCCACATCAATGAACATTTTTTTTCCCCAAAGAGAAGGGGAAAGAACTATTTTTTTTCTTCTAAAATTTGAAATTATTTGGCACAGCTGCACACTATGGAATATTATGTTTTCTCCTTTGAAAATACTGCTTGAAAAGCTCATACATTGAATTGTTGGAGCTCAAAACTGAAGATAGTGACAATCAGACCTGAGGACATACTCTTTTTTGCCTTTTTTTTTTTTCCTTCTATGAATGCTAGCTAGTTGCTGGAATGTTAAAATTCTTAGGTTTTTCACATGTTTTGAAATATATTTACTTGTTTGTCAAATATATGAGATTATACTTTATAGATCACCTTTCTCTAGCTATAAATGTTCTTATGCTGCTGTTCTTATGCTTCCTATTTCTTCATTTTTTAAAAAAGATAAGAAGAAGAATACGTCTTGTGTAGGCCTGATGCAAGCTCTGTACCTATAAGAATTGCAGAAATTCTCTGGAGAATATTCTTTACTAGCAGAAAAGTGAAGCTGAAGGCTGTCAGATGTTTTGCACCTGTAATTTTAATGACTAAAATGTCCTTTGAAAGCAAATGATGAAGCCTGCTATATGCATATTTTTCTTTTGTTTTAGGCTCAAAGATATTTCAACGCTATTGGAAAAGCAGCACGACCTCCTTAAACTGATTATACAGAAAATGGAGATAGTGTCAGAGGCTGAGGATGAAGACAGCAATGATTTATTTCAGCACAAGTTTAGGAAACGACAGTTAGAACAGAAGAATAGTAAATGGGATACAGTATTAAAAGCTGTTAAAACAAACGTGGCTAACCCAAGCACAGAAAAGAACAATAGCTTCTTCTAGAAATGGCTATGAGATCATGTTGTATTGTATATATATTTTTATTTTATTTTGTGTTAGGGTCACTTCTCTTAATGTCTGTGCATATGTTACTGTGGTACATCATGTGTTAAAGTATAGAAATAGGGCTTGGTCCAAAAGAAGATGGATGTAGGTGTCCAAAACAGCCTTTAAGCAGCCTGAAGATGCCTACATCCAAAACTGGGATCCCCCAAATGGCTGCCCGATCATGAAAGTGCCTAACCCACCAGAGCCAACCTTGCTGCGCCGGCAGTTCCCGAGGCTTCTGGCTAAGTCTGTGCTGGATCTGGCCCTGACACTCTTGGTTATGTATTTAATTGCATTGATCTCTGTTACAAATATTTTTATCAGAAATTCAAGCTCTAATTCGTCTAGTATTCTGCCCTTTGAGAGAGCAAATAGGTTTCATACAGCATTAAGAAAAAGTGAGGAACTAAGCTGACAAGCTGCTTTGGGAGTTTTGCTGAGTAAGGACTGCAGGATCAGGCCTGAAAGGTAAGAAATAAATAGATTATGAAAATACAATGTTAGTAGAAGGACTCTTTTCTCCTGTGGATAACTAACTGCAATTCCTGGAGGGATAGTTTGGACTAGCAGGAATATAGCAGTGGTAGAAGGACATGCTGATGTTAAGTCATTTACAGCTTACACTTCCTTGTGCTGCTGCTGTGGTTTTGGCCTTCCTGGTGTCTGAAGAACTGCCCTTGCTGCTTTAATCTGCACTTTGGTTCTGTTATTTATTTATTGGGTATTCAGTGCATTATGTAATATACAGTAATGTATGAAATGTAGAAATAAACATGAATTAAACAGTGTTTAAGTACCTGACCTTACGTTCTGTTTTTTGTACCTAACTTTATGGAAATATGTGATTGTAATATTCCGTGGTCTGCCTTTGAATTCACACTTTATCTTTAAGCACTTATTATACTTTAATTCTCCATATAAAGAAAAACTATATTCCTCTTATTTATAAACAGGGATATTCACATAACACGGAAATTGTCCAGTCCTCACAAAAAAAATAGGAAGATGCCCCATTGATTTGTGAGATTTGTACTTTAAAATGTCTGTGAAAGACATTACTGTCTATTGTCAGAGGCACCTGTAGCGAGTCAGGAGGTCTTTGGAGTTCATTTCACTAACAAGATTCATCAGTCTTTGAATTCTGTGGCATAAATCTGTACCAGGTATAACTGAAGATGTTTGCTATTTAAATCTGAAGTTCCATTGTGATTTCACCACCAAAACAAGAAAAAACAAATAGGTGTTTTGCATTAAAATGCAACTGCATAAAATTAGTCTTGAGTAAGACAAGGCAGAAAATTGGTATTTGGCTGCTCCATACAGGCAGTAAGATGGGACGTGGACATGGACATTAGCGCTGCTGTATGAGTGTATCCAAAGACGTGTTCAGGGGAGCCCCAGAGCCTTCCTCAGGAGGAAGCCCTCCTGCCCTCCAATTGCCTTCTCACTGCTGTTGACATCTGGCGTGTCCCCCTCCTCCTCGCACACCGGAGAGGAAAGCAATGTGGTGCACAGAGAGTGGGGCAGCTCCAGCGTTCTTGGCGTAACGGGGGCGTGAGGAACCTGCGGCGGGAAGCGTGCGGCGGTGCCCTGCGGTCTGCCGGGGGGACCCTGGGGGACGGCGGCAGGAGAAGTCGCGTGGGAGCGAAACGGAGAGCGAGATGGAAGAGCACCAGCAAGATCACAGAATGGCTGAGGTTGGAAGGGACCTCTAGAGATCATCTAGTCCAACCCCCTGCTCCAGCAGGGACACCCGGAGCACGGGGCACAGGGTCGCAATGAGGCAGGTTGTGAAGATCTCCAAAAATACCATGCCATGAATCTCACGTGTTACTTGGTGGTATCGAGTGTAACAGTACGTGAAGTATAGAATCAAGAAAATAATCACTGAAGAAGTAATCAATTCAAAATACTGAAGAACTGCTAAGAAGTAAAATCTGAATTGCATGTCCAAATTACTCTGTGGCCTCTAAAGTCAAGTATATTTCAGTGACAAAGTGTCAGTTTTTGTGCGCTGCTGCACATCTGCAGCCCCATCAGCAGCAACGGGTGCCAGGATGTTGAGGCCAATTTTGTAAAAACACAGGTCTTCATTCTTAAAGCCAGAAAAGTCATCTGAAAATTCCTGACAGTCTGTACAATTAACACTAGATGGCAGTGAGTGATAACACTTTTTGATAAGTAAATTGAGCCTCAAATGCATAGTTTTAAGTGAATAGTAACAACAGCAAGTTTGCAAGTGAAAGAAAGTAGCCATCATCTGCACTTTTAAGGTTTGAGCCTCTCAAGCCTCTTCAAGCAGAGCCCAGAGGCATTTATACACAGCAGCCTCTTGAGATAGAGACTTAAGTTCTTCCGAGCTTTTAACTTATAATTTTAGAAATATTTTCTATTTTTGTTCTTAAGTTTATCTGCTTTCATTCATTTAGCAGCTTCATTCTGGGGGAAGTATGCATAAGCATATCCATTCTTCCCCTGGTACACATCCAAAGCTGACCATAAGCCAGTGAACAGTCTGCCTTCACGGAGGACAATTGGGTGGTGATTGTTTGCAGTTTCCCAGATCCCCCAGTGGCTTCACTGTGTTTTTACTATATTATAGTAAATAAACATATTTATTATAACAAGTTAACAGCCTGTTAAATTTTAGAGCAACTGCTCTTCTACAAAGAAAAGTGACCATACAGCTTGGAAATCCAGTGTGTTTCTAAGTACTAGTATTAACTGAAAATTAGGAAAAAAATCCATGCTTGGTTAACAGTTTTTATTCAGAAAGACAAAAGGGATTTTTAATTAGCTAATACCAATACTTGGTCAGATATTTACTTTTCTGTGGAAATCCTCACACTATAGTTATTTGATGGACATGTGATATTTAGAAATATCCAATAAAGATGGAGAAGTACAGACCCAAGAAACTTAATTCATGTCTTATCAGTAGGAACACAAATGCCAGTTACTTAAAAATTATGTAGACTTTGCTGAAGAAACTGGGTCATCCCAGTGATCACTAGATCCAATCCTCTTGGGTACCACCATATTTAATAAAAAATCATGTCATCATATCATTAATATTTTGAAATAACAAATAGAGATCAACGCAGATTGATCTCTCAAACTCAACTGAAATTAGTTCTTATAATCTTGTCTACAAGCTATGACTAGTGTGTTTATCAGTATTTATCAGTATTTATCAACCACTTCAGTTTCTCAAGTATGGACACTCAGTGCTAGGAGGATCTGCAATATAGAGGATCTGCTCACAGTTTAAGCAAGCTAGGAATCCTTCCTAAAATATCCAAAATACCCAAAGTGTTGCAGTGACTTCACTAGCTGAAGTTAAACCATGTGTAGTATAATCAATACTGTAATTATTAATCTCTGCGGAACAGAAAGCAGAATATATGGAAATACCACGTAATCTCCATTCAGGGTACAAAGAGCTCTGTAACCATGTGTCAGTATCATTTATGATTTATATATATATATTTTTCTCTCTCTCCTGCGTATCAAGTATTTCTTGTCATGAAGGTAAATACTCCAGCTCATTTCCTGCTGCTCAGCAGCTGGGGCAGTGTTTTCCTCCTCGAAGAAAGGAGGAAGGTGGTCTGGACTTGCCTCTTCCCACCAAAAGCAGGACAGGGTTATGCCAGATCTTTTTGTCCATGTCCCTGGAGTCCCCAAAGGAGGCCTTGCTGGGACAGATGGGACTGAGTGTTGTGTATAGTTGTGTCTTTTAACACTACTGGAACAAAGGCAGAGCCAAACTACAAACCAACCTCAGTCTTTTTTTGACTTTTGTTTTGTTTCTAAGGAAATGCTCAGCCTTGCATTCTCCTTACTCTATCGTGTAGCATTTTCCTACCTGTAGCTTTCTGCAAAAGGGGCTTTTTAGAACATCTGAGAGCAAAATGTAGCCCTTCCTGAGCTGCAGATGGTACTTGCTGTAGGGAAAATTGGTTTATAGACGAGGTCCACGTTATCCTTAATGAACAAAGAAGGAGAAATGTAGCAAACCTTGCTCTGAAAAGTTGCTGAAAGCAGAAGAGTGCTTTTGAGATTTCCTTTTGAAATGAATGAGAAACTAAAAAATATAGCAAAGGATATGGGGGGAAAAAAAAGTTGATTCTTTAAAGCAGCATCTTAGAGCAGTACAAAGATACTTCGACTGGGTGGAACCGACCTATAAATCAGTTCATGTGGGAGATATCTCAGCAAAGAAAAGAAATCAAGACAGCAAGAAATGTGTCTGATGGAAAGTAAGGCATTTTAGGTTATATGGTTGGGAATCACAGCTTTGAAAGCAAAACTATTCACTTCAGAAGTGAACAATAACTACTTATTTTGTTATTATTCATAATTGTTAATATCTTTTTAATCAGAAAGGTGATTGCAGCCTAAAATCAGTCAGTAGCAGGAAGCTGAGGATTGACAAGAAGAGAAAGGTCAAACAGACCTGGAAAAGAAAGGGGAGAACCTGGGAGTGACCCACACGTTAGTGTAGCCACTTCAAAGAGGACTGAAAGCCCCAGGGCTCCATTAGGCCAGCCTGAGAATCCCAGTGGTGCTCACAGAAATGTCAAATTCAGCTACCTCCAATGACATTAAATCTAGATCTGGGAGAGCTAATATCATTTATATTTTTAAAACCAGAAAGCATGTTTCTGAGCTCAGTCCTAATGATAATTCCTGGATCTCGCCATAGCTGTTGGAATGATTCAAGGAGGAAGGGTGAACGTGGTGCTGTGATGGATTGGCATAATGTTCAGGACAGCTTCTCGCCTGTTACACTGATTCCCTTTCTGCAGATTTGAATTTTAACATTCCCAGCATGCCTTCCCACTGTCTGTGAGCATTATAGTTGCACTAAATGACTAAAAGTAGAAGTTATTGTTGGAATTGTTACTGTATCATGAGGAAAGGAGCTTGTGCATTTCAGAGTATTTGATCTTCCTTGTATCAGCTTGAAGGTGGTGTCCACATCTGTATATGAAAAATGGAAGCATGGCACCTCTAATGAAGTGCAGGGGTTCTCAGGCCAAGGAATAGTGACACTTTCCTAGCGTGAAATGCTTTGCGAAAAAAGCACATAGAGTGCTCGAGAGTGAAGGAAATAGTTTGCCCTAGTAAGAATAAGGTGCTATTGCTTAGCACTCAATCA